AGCGCGGGCGCCTCCGCGGGCCCCTGCGAGGAAGGGGCAGGACACCCAGCAGGGAGCAGGGAGAGCCCGGCGCGGGCGTCGCAGGAGCCCTGCAGAAGGACTAGGGGTATTTTTATGCATGAGCCCGGTCCTCGGAGCTACCATACAAAATACGCCTCAGGTGCAAAAAAAAAAATCAAAAAAAAAAAACCCTAAATTCCAGAAACATCATCAGTGCAAAATCCTCCTGCTCCGCATCCCCCAAGTGTTTATTCCTTAATGGAAAAGCACATTAAAAGAGGGGGGAAACAAGACAGGGCTGACATGGCAGCACAGCTAACACAAATGGCAAGTGTCAGCCCTGCAGGCAGGCCTGGCGCGAAGCTTTGAAGGAGCTGCGCTCGCTTGGCCAGGAGGACGCTTTCGCTTTACCAGCGCTGGCAGAGTCTATTGACAGAGACACCTTTGGAAATACAGCGCAGACCTCCTCCGGGATGGGTGCGGGGCCCGGAGGGGACCTAGTCAGCAAAGCCGTTGTCAAGCACGCAAGGGGTGACGCGCTGCTAGGTGCCCCGCTGCGGGACGGTCGTCTGCTGCACGGCAAGGACCAGGACCGCTTGTCTCCTCGCTCCGCTGCCAACGGGGACAAAAATTCACGGAACCAGCACCAAACCGCCCGGAAGGAGGCGTGGAGAGCGGCACACCACGAGGAGCCTGGGGGCGCTCGGCCCGCTGCCCTGGCCTCCAGCCCGCCCTCGTTGCAACTACTTTGTTCAGTTCTGTTAGGGCTGTTTTACCAGAAAAAATAATATATATAGACATATTCCACAGCTTGACTATTCATGGGGATTTTTGCTGTTTAATAGTAGCGTGTGGCTCTTCCTCTTCAGTGTCAAACCTACCACCGCAGCTCGGACAACAAAACAAAGCCAACGGGCCAGAAACGCCCGATGCGACTTACTCCGCTCCGAGGCGCAGCCCCGCTTGCCCCGCTTTTCAGGGCGGCCCAGGCTCCTTCCTCGGCACGCCAGGGCGCTGCAGCGCTTCGCCTTGTCACGCACGTCCCCGCGTAGCTACCGGAAAACTCAGAGGAATGCCAGGCGTCTGTCTTTGAAGGGGCCGTTGCGAAAGGCCAGCTTAAACGGCTAAATAATGCTTTTTAAAACCTCATCGAGAAGACGCAGTGCGTCGCGTGGGGATGGGAAATTTCACTACGACATGCCCTCCAGCTAGCACCCGTTCTTGTGCGGCGAGCACTACTTTTCTTGGCATCAGTTCTGCACGTAGCTTTTAAAAAATGTATTTTTTATTTTTAAACCAGGGGACCAAGAGCACTCTCACCAGCCGTCCCCGGCCCAAACAAAGAGGTCCAAGAAGTAACAGATCGATTAAGCAACAGTGACTCTGGTAACTGAAACAGCTACAAGAAAAGAAGAAGGTATATGCTGGTTTTGTATTTTAACTCTTTGAAAGACATGGCTTGTTCTGGCCTGAAACAGGAACAACCATGGATTGTTTAAGGTCGTCCCGAGCCACGCTTAGGTCTGTCGATGCATCCTTGGAGACGCCGTGGGAAGAGCTCAGTGCATGGAGACACCTGTTACGGGGACAGTTCAGATTCGCACGCGCTCAGCCTGTTCTAGAGACACCCCGGAAAAAACCAGAACCGAGAGGACTCCTATCTTTCAGGAACAGTAAATTGCAGCTGGGTTTATCACAAATCCTGACAGTATGAACGTGTCCCAGGAAGGAAAATTAAGGTTTCAGCTACTCGTAGCTCAAAGATTAACATCATAACAGCAAGTTGCACCGGAACCGGGGTCTGTGGAGCAGGGGAGGAATCCAGCGCGTCGAGTTGCCGATGAAGGAGCGCCGGCACGGATTGCTCACGCTGTCTATGCTACCCTGGATAATTGCCCAGACACCTGAACGAGAGACGGGGAGCAGCACAAATAGACTTAAAGATCCAGCAAGAGGCAGAAATCAACCTCATTGTCTATTTGTACACTCATCTCCTTCCACCCTGCCTATGACTTTCTCTGGTATCTGTCTGCCCTCTGCATCCAGGCTTTTTTGCACCTCCTGTTAGGTACTTTCTGCCGGAGCTGGAGGGCCGGCGGCGGCCCGCGAGTGCCACGGAGGGGGCCGGGACGTGGCGCCGGCTGCGGTACTGAATTCCAGCACCCTCCTCGAGCTGCACCTCGCCTGCACTACTGCTCTGCCAGCAAGAAAAATGCACTTCTCAAAGGCACTCACCTCAGTCGATGCTTAATTTGCATTAATGATTGTCATTTTAGATGGTGCCAGCTGTACGAGCATGGCTTTCTTACTGTGCGTAAGGGCAGTCCCGTGCCACATGAGTGGCCCCGAGTCCCTTTTCGGTATGCAGCAGCGAACGCACAGACAAAACACGAAGCGATGCACCGTGGGATGGACACTGTTTCTCCGTTTGACCAACCCAGACTGAGTTCTGTTTTTAGTATACGAGTCCTCCACAGTAATACTGTGAGAAACATTTTTTTAGCTTATCTGATCAAAATGCAAATCTTGATTATACATACATTGTTGGAAAAAAAAAAAAAACCCAACAGCAGAGGAGGCACTACCCTGCAAGAGCTACAGCACGGGTTGGGGGGCTGGGGGAGGCGGGTCCCCGCACACGCTGCCGTCTGCCTTCCCCTCCATCAGCGACAGCGCCGTTTCAAAGTCCATCCAGGTCCTACCTCTTCTCTCCAAACATCCTCCTCTCCCTGACTAAGTGGTTTCAGGGGCAACCTAGCACTTTGCTTTCGGTGACATTTTTGCTCACTCTGAATGTCTTCTGCGGATGTGAAGCTTTATCTTCACTTCAGATCAACTGCCAAGTCATTTATTCTGCTTTATGGTATCTAAACTAGTTCAACTATAAGAGCCACAGCAATGAGTCACGGGCCAAGCTCCCCCCACCAGCAGGAAGGTCCCTGGAGGGGACACGGGTCTTCTTCCAGAGCACCGCGGGGCAGAAAGGCTGCCACAGCCGTGGAGGAGACCCCCAGTACGCGGGAGAGGTGCGGAGGGCCCTGCCCAGGGCTGGCTGCTGCCTTGGCACCGGCATGCTGGTAGCATCTCAGGAGCGTCACCTAGTCCAGGCCTGAACAATTCTGTCCTTGAGGACATCCCAACGGACACCTTGAGCTCATACACACAAACCCCCACACTTATCTATGACACCGCCCAGTAACTGCCGGCATGTGCCAGGAACGCCCGGAGGAGCTGAGCTTTCGCAGGGCCGTTAGCCCAGTGCTCCAGCCCTGCTGGAACAAAAAAGGCTCTCGTTTGAGCAGCTTCCTGCCTTTCTCTGAAATAATTTTTTTCCCATTAAATAACCACTATGAGCTGTTTCTCTTCCTAATATAGCAAGCTCCATTATGCTCATTGTTTGTTTGTGTTTTGTTTTAGTTCCTTCCCTACTAAAACAGCTTGAAACCCATTGTACTACCTGCCTCCCCCTCTTCACATCTCTCGCTCTGTGCCACCAGGTTTTCCTTTCAACAAAAAGCACTTAAGGAGTTATGAGATTCCTTGCACATATTTGGCTGCTGGAAGTACCTGGAACTCCCTATCCCTTGGCTTAAGCCTATAAATGCAGAAGGTTTTGAAACTCGGATCTGAACCAGCTCTTCAGTTTTTAACAGCCTTGCTGTGGATTCCATGGAACAGATACAAATATATGTCATAAGAAAGCATCTGGAGTCATTTTTAAACATAATTGAAGTATCACTTATTATTTTTTCTCTTCTGCAGATAACTTCAGGTTTCCCCAGTTTTCTGCTGAACAACTATGTTGATTAACTCCTTCTGCAGGTTTCCGAATCCTCTCCAATCCCTCCTGCTCGCACAGTGCAAGGCAAACAACGACGGGCAAGGATGGCCTCCTAGCCTTGAGACTGGCACCCACACCTTGTGATGCTTTCACTTTTTAAATGCTAATCAAAGGTTTCCATGGTAACCAGCAAGAGCAGGAAGAAGAGGAGAAATTATAGGTCAGCTCTATCATTGAAAGCAAAAAATTTATTTGACTCCTTTGCCCTGAAAAAGTTTCAAGGTGACTTAAAAGTATTGATTACTCAGGTTGCATAAAGGCAAAAAAACACGCCACAGAATAGTCCTCTATTGTATCAAAGAAAAAGCTTTTAGTCCTTTAATACCAGGCTGGATCTGAAACCCAGTGATGCTCTTAACCTCCACAGCACCTTCTGGGCAGCCTGCAGTCAGTAAGGTGCCATTCAAAGCAACGCTAGATTCCCGGTCGCATGGCGGTGCCTCCGCCCCACGGCGCCCATGGGGCACGGCGGCGATGTAGGTCAATTGGGGAGCCACGTTCCCCCTTCCTCCTACATCTCCTTTTGTACCAATTTTTATTTCAGTCACATACAGGTTTCCAGTTACTAGTCAACCAGATATGACTCAACATCACAGACACAAACAAGGAAACTTTTCTGCCACTATTAGCTTTCGGAGGAAGTGGAAAAAGGAGAGAAAAACATATCAGTCATGTACATACTTTGCCAAGTGGTTCATGAGCAAGTGCAGCATCTGCCTGTTCTTCTCTGGGAGCCGATGAACAAGGCTGTGGATCTCAGACACCCTGGACTCCTGATTCTCCAGTTCTGCAGAGGAAATCAAGGATGATTTATCCCTACTACAGGATTTTTACTATAGAGAAAAAAAAACATGCAAGCCCAAAGAGTAATACAGACAGACATCCTGGGGACCTGAGGCTCCCAGCTCTACCCAGGCATGCTGTGGACATTCATGACTGCACTTTTTCTTTTTACCCACTCCAATCAGTCGTTTTAAAAAGGAAAAAACTGATGGGCTGCAGCAACAAGCTGAAAACAGACACCAACTGTATGAAGAGCCCGCTGTGATCAGAGAGCAGGCTGGTTGTAACTCAGATGTTTCTCTAACTTCACGGGTGGGAAGCATCACCACCTTCTTGCCCAGTGTGTTTTCAAGCACTGTAAGGATGTTCCCAGCATGCCTGGACAGAGTTTAGCATCTGGCCATCAGCCCTGGCTGGACTGCAGGTGCAGACAGGCATGCTCTCACGGCCTGAGTGGGAGCCGTTCAAGGCATCACCCTTCTCCGGTCTCTTCTACCACCACACAGCTGGGTGCCGCAGGCTGTGTGAACCCTCTTAACCCTCAGCAGAGGAAAGCAGAACAGGCGAACTGTCCTCACCGGGCCCAGCTGCAACAACCCTGCTGCAAATCTGCAGTGTTTTTGTATTTAATGCCACGAGCTGCACGTTCATGCTCCACCTGCTCCACCTTCGTTCAGACTAATGTTTCATGACGGCAACTCCCCAACGCAGCTAGCCTGGCTCGTACGGGGTTTAATGCTGGCAAGAACCCGTGGGCTGCACGGGACCCACCGCCGCACCGGGACTGCCGACGCGCTCCAACGAGGAGCCACACAGCGGATTGGAGTGGCCAAGTGATCCAGGTGAGGATGTCACTGCCCCAGCTGCTCTTCCCACAGCATCAGCTGGCCACCAGCAACGTGCACGGACCAGCGCCGCCGCAGAGGGAGCAGCTGCCTGGGAATTACCTGCTCCCATATAATGCATCCTCCTAGCGTAGGTAAAGGAAAGCAGCACACACATCTCAACTACAACTGATCTAATCAAAACACCGTAAGCTTTGAATGAACAAAAGCCTCGCTCACTGGGGAGATGATGGTTGGGAAAAAAAAAAACCAAAAAACTACACCACCAGTTACTGCCATCAGTAGTTTCTCCTCTTCCCCTGCAGCATATATGTTTCTTTCTTATCCAGTAAGTCCCAAACAACAACATGCCCCTTGGACCTCAATTCTTATTCTGCTTTCCTGGATCTATGAATAAGGACGTTAGTGGAAAGTTGTAGGGGAAAGGTTATGCTCAGTTACTTGCAAATTATGTGCCTCTTTCTGACTGACGCCATGAACATCAATAAACTCACTTGCTGCTTTGATGAAGCTTCTTTGAAACTGATACATCATGAGCGGCCCCGGAAGCATCCTACAATACAAAAAGGTAACATGAACAAAATATGTTTGAGCAAAAGAATTCACAGAATCGCAGAAACATAACTTGGCCATTGCCGTAAATTCAGCTCCATTTTTAAAAGTGCAGAACTAAGCGATAGCAACTCTGCTAATTAATTCCCCTCATCAGAAGGAATAAGAAATACTGAGGGAGCTTTGATTTATCTTCCTTTTCTAGACCACACTCAATTCATTGTCAATGTTAGCGCTCCTTCAGTAACACAGGCTGACTTTTGCTACATTAGTGAGCTTAAAAATAAATTAAGAAAAGAAACAAACCTAGTCGCAAAACTTTAGCAATCACTGTTCCCATTAAATTCCCTCTTCTTCCCTCCTACTTCCAGATCCCTTCAATGTGACATCTTGCTAAAACAGATTTAAAAGGAAAAAAAAGACTGTTTCGTATTGAATGCTGATGAAGTTTGTGGGCCTGGTAATCCTGTCTAGAGGCAGGCACACTGCAGAGCAGTGCTCAGACAGCTCTCCCCCTCCTATCCGCCAATGCATGGTCCTCTCCCGCAGCAGCTCTGCTGTCCTCATCTTCAGGACCTCTCTGGATTTGTCACTTCTCCTGAGTCCTGACCTTTCTACTCAGGGAGTAACTATTCCCGTGCTGCTGACTTTCTTCATTGCTTTGCGAACAATTCAAACTCTGGAGCAAAGGTTGCCAATCACGCAAAATTATGTAATGTTTTGTGAATTTCTAGGCTGAGATCTATGACGCTAATTATCTTCACCATCCTAATTGGATTTAGCTTCTCTCTTGCTCTCTCTCTCTCTCTCAAAAACCCAAACCAAACCAAAACACACAGAACAGCAACAGAAAGCAAAAGCCTGCAGTCACAACAGGCAGAAGCATGTCACGGATAATGAAATACTTACAGCTGCCAACAAACAGACATTTTTGAAGATAACCCACGATGATAATGGCATTAACTTTCATACAGCAATTATTACTACAGTAAAGCTTAGCACCCAGTTCTGGGTGCTATCGACCCATACCGACTGCCGCAGCCCCAGCAGAAGCGCTCTGCTCCCTGCCTGCCCCATGCTCATTAGCTGGAAGCCCAGAGCGCAAAGCTTAGGGAACAGCGTAAATCAAGGCATGGGTGCACGAGAATGAGCTTTTGAAATTACATTTGTACGGAAACTGCATCTACCAGAGAGCTCAACATATTCCCCACGTCCCACTCAGATATGCTGGAGGGTCAAGGAAAAGGCGAGGAGAAATTCTGTAAGAGCAGTTCCTTCTGTGGTCATACGAAAGTGCTCTTGGTAAGCACCTGCAGCCGCGGGCAGTGGCGTCACAGGCCCTGGCAGAGGACCTCCTGCAGCCGCACAACGGACCGGACACTTTCCCCCTTACCTCAGGTAGGTCTTCAGCGCACTAGTAATGGTTTTTATCTCCCACTCTGCACAGATCTCTGTTTCTGTTTCAGTGGCTGTTTTGGGATCTAAGGAAAAAGAAAAAAAGAAAAAGAGAGAGAGTGAGCCAAAGTGAAGATAAACCAGCACATACCACTCCAGCATCAGCAGAGCACAGCCAACTGCGTGGGAAGACCTTCACGTCCCATTTTATTAGCTCTTCCAAAAAACCTAATGATCTCAGGGTGATCTCCAACAGACTCTCCTGCAATTAGGCTGAATCCATGACAAGGAGGGGGACACTTGGATTCACTGGCATAGGACAAAAAAAAAAAAAAGGGAAAAACATTGACCACGAGCAATGAGATGACAGTCTGACTTAAAGCATGACATTAAGCACGATGCAGGAGACTGGTGTTTGATGACGGTGGTGACAGAGCAGGGCAAAAACATGACACGGACCACACCAGCAGGAGACCGCCACCCAGAGCGTCGCAGCAGAACCACGCGGGCTG